ATTTAATACTTTCTACCTGTTCTGTGAGTGACAGACAGTTACTTCTTACCTTGCGTTGCAAACTATTTTCAGACTCGGCCGTTTCGCTCGCTGCTCCTCCCCCTCTCGGTGTAAAGCTACGGCTCGAACACTTGACTCCTGGGAAATGTAGTTCTTTTGACTTGTGTTAAAGTGAAGGCTTACTGAAAGAAAACTACAAAATAGCTGCGCCCGTGTTTTTTTTTTCCATTTTCATTTTTGGTTATTGATCGGTTCCCGCTCCTGTTTGCTCCCGTTAGCTTTCAGTCCGGTCACGTCCCGGTCACGTGAGTTATAATGAGGTTGACTCCGGTCCTGCCAGAATCCGGCCGGAATCACATGACCGGCGGTACTCCCAAAAAAATGTCATCCTCTAGCCCCCACCTCACTGTTCTTTTGTCTGCTTCTGTCCTCACATCTGGGTCCGAGGCTCCTGTGAGGAAAACATAAACAAACGGTGAACATTAGGCAAACTTTTTAAGCAGCTGATCCGATGGATGAGCACAGTTTTACAAGCTAAGCTTCATCTGTTACTGTCAATCTTTAGTTAGCTTCTGAGTTTAGCTAGTTACATAGATAAAATAAATTTGCACACTAATATCTTTAAGTTAGCGTTACATGGATTCTAGTTTTAATTCACCGCGATGTACATACATGTTAAGCTGCAGTAACGTTAACAAACATAAACTTACCAGCTGAAACACACACATAGCTCCGTCCTCGGAGTTCTTTGATGAAGAGGAGTCGGGCTGTGGAATGTTGATTCAGTCCGTTTAACACACACAGACTGACTTTAATGCTGAGAGGAGGAGGGGAGGCTGCTGTTCGTCCCTCTTCTTGCAGAAAAACACAGAGCAACTTTCTGCTCATAAGCAGAAAGTTGCATGTGTTGTCGAAGCCGTTCGACAACACATGCGCTGCACATGTGAACCCCGTCTGTAAGCATAACCAGCACCATAGACAAACAAGCTGTAGGGCAGCTCTATACAGTTCTGGGTGTAAACACATAGTCTTTTGTCATATGTCTGCGTTTTACCTGCCAGCGTGCTGAAACCACGTAACACGTTACAGCCAATACCAAAACTTGACACCGAAAAAAGAGTGACGTTTCAATCCATACACCGACCGACGCAGTGTGGTCGGTGCTATGAAAGAACCTTGGTTCGGTACTCAGCCCTACCAGCCAGAGGCAATAAGCATAACCAGCAGCACCACTAATGCTGCAAAAGGGCAGTCTAGATCTATTGGAGTACTTAAATATTGCATTGCTTAAATCCTGTTTTCTCGTCATTGCAGGTGTCAATGTAATGGTCATGCAGACAGATGTAATGAACACGATGGAACAAACTGCCCCTGTCAAAACAACACAGAGACCTCATCCTGCCTCAGCAGCCCTCAGAATGATAGAAAAGACTGCTACAGGCACCAGGTAAGAGATGGGAATTAATTATTTTGTAGAATTTTGACAATGTTTTCTGTAAACGTTATAATGTGTTGTTTAGGTAACATGTGCTGTTACATTATTTAAAGTTGGAGGGAAATGTTACTGGAATAAGTTCAAATTGTGTTTGTTTTTCCATTTAGTGTGCCAAGTGCAAAGACTCCTTTAATGGCAACCCAGTGAATGGGCATCAGTGCTACCGTCAGTTTAATGTGGACACAGAGTACTGCTTTGATCCCACATCCCAAACAAACTGCTTCCATGACCCCACTATTCGCAACCTTCCCAAGGGTCGCACTGTGTTCTTTGCTGCACAGCCAAAGTTTACAAATGTGGACATTCGGGTCACCATTGATGTTACCTTTGGAGAAGTGGAGGTGTATGTGTCTAACTCACACGACACCTTTGTTGTTGATGTGAACAGCTACACAGGATTTCACACTATCAAAATAGATGAGGAATCAGTGAAAACTGGAGCATCTACAGTAGATAAGGATTCCCCTCCGTCCCCTATTAAAGTGTTTGCCAATGCCTCGTCCAATCTGGGAGGTCCCATGCTTTCCCAGAACCCACAGCAGCTACAAGCCAAACCTTCAGGACCAGAAAGAGAAATCAGAGAGGAACGCGCTGAAGGACTCATCACCTACATAACTGTCTTAAAACCACAGACAGTGCTGATTGTTCGAGGAGTTCGAGATCGTGTGGTCATCACTTTCCCTCATGAGGTGCACTCCCTGAAATCTAGCCGCTTTTACATCGCTCTCAGAGGCGTGGGAACCAATGAAAGACAGGGCGAGTCCCAGGGCCTGCTGTTTTTGCGACAAGACCAGGCCCACATTGACCTCTTTGTCTTCTTCTCAGTTTTCTTCTCCTGTTTTTTCCTTTTCTTGTCTGTCTGTGTTCTCTTGTGGAAGGTTAAGCAGTTCCTGGACTTCCGTCGAGAGCAGCGTCGTCACATTCAGGAGATGACTAAAATGGCATCCAGACCATTTGCTAAACTTACCATATACCTTGAACCGGAGGAGCCTCAGCTCATCTATCTGCCTTCAGCTGGTGGAGGGGTCGGTGGCAGCACTGTGTCACTTACTCATGCCCGCACAGGAAAGATAGGTGGAGTAGTAGTGGGGCAAAGGGGCAGAGCAGTACCAGTCTCCTATAAACATGACCCGAGCTCTGGGCCTACAGCCCACCATCACCATCTCACGTTGAGCGGAGGAGGCAACAGCGGACAGCACCTACCACTGCACTACCTGAACACCCATCACTATGCCAGCACTACAGCTGGAACTCAAGCCTCTCATCAACACCATCCATCCACATACTCTGGCTACCAGCACTTCTGTCGCTCCGACCCTTTCCTCTCACAGCTCATGGGCTTTTCCTATTCCTCCTTCAAAGTGGGGCCCATCACTCTTGAGCCCACAGAGGATGGAATGGCTGGAGTAGCCACCGTCCTCTTCCAGCTGCCTGGGGGTGTCTTGGCTCCAAACCGTGCCTGCTTGGGCTCTGCACTGGTTACTCTGCGCCAGAATCTGCAGGAATATTGTGGTCATGGCAACGGAGGGGGGCATCCAGGGGTAGGTGCAGGGCGTAAAGGGCTGCTAGGACATCAGCACCTGACCACTATGGCTATGTAGGAATGCAAGAAGCAGATAAGTATAAAATATTGCAGAGAAAAGACAGATGTAAAGTGTTACAAATATAAGAAATAATTTTTCAAAGAAACAGTGGAAAAAAAGGCAAAGTCCAAAAGAAGTAGGTATTGTACATGAGAGTCAGTAAACCATTTTTCAACATGAGTGTACATACACTGTATGATGTAAAGTGTCTTTTATTATATGATGTATTGCTAAACTGTATTTCAGGCTTCACATGACCAAATCAGCTGTCTCTAGAATGAAGTACAGTACAACAGTTATCAGCAAAATAATTGCAGAAAATGATCACTAAAGAGGTAGGAGCACACTAAAGCTGGACTCATTAAAATTATACTCACTGAAAAAGAATCGTGGATAAGAAACAAAGTTTCGTGCTTTGAAACCAACATGTGCTTTACACCCAAAAAAGTGATATACAATCAAGAATGCTATTTAAAAATGGTGTACTTTAGGACATAATTTGCAAACTTAATTGTTAGCACAGTGCAGGAAAAACTAACTGTTGCTTGTGACATGGTTTTCCATCAGTATTAGTGATTTTATCATTGTATCTCAGTATATGGTAGACTTTACGCTTAATTACATGAATTCTGTTACAAAGACTCCTCCGTATGTTGTTGCATATTTATTCAGATGATATGTTGCATTTTTTGTCTCATCTGCCTTCACTTCTTGCCTTGTTTTTAAGCCAGTGGGCTAATCTTAACGCTTTTGTTGGAAGTGTGCGTGTGTAGTGCAGCTCCTTGAGTAAGTAAAAACAATATTTTGAATTGTGTTTAAGGAGCTGCATTTTGTATTTGCCAAGTAACACTACCATTTCAGAACATGTATGTTGAAAAGGCAGTTTGAGAAATGTTACTGTATCGGGGGGTGAAGAAGTGTTAACTGAGAAAATTCTCCTGGTGAGAGATTTCTGTGTATTTTCGGAGCATTTTCTGACTGATTTTTTTTTTGTTTACTGTTTTGTGTTTGAGTTATTTCTTCTGTTTTATTTTGCACTGCATGAAGCCAGTGGCCCTGTTATCCACACGAATCATTCTCTTGAGCATGCATTTTAAAAGATTAAACTGACTAAAGGGCTGCTGGCTTCTTATCAAATAAAACTTTTTCCCTTTTATTACTGTAACTGCAAACTAAAGTTCAAACAAATCCTGTCAATATTTAAAACAACCCTCCACAAATAAGCATTACCACTTTTTTGTCTTGTATTTTTGTTGTGTATGTTTTTTTTAACATACGTTATTTTTGTACATAACATGTTTGTTTGTTTGTTTTCAAAGAAGGGAACAGTATTGTGCAGAAGACTGATTGATGATTTAGTGTCCAGAGTCAGCTGAAATAAAATCTGTGAAACATTACTGTGTTTTGGTTTTATAATTTTTAATACTTCAGAAATGAGAGAGGGGGGGTGTATGTTGAGAATAAAGCAAGAGTACACCAGGCTAGGTATTTCAAAGACAATTTGATTTTGAATGTCCAAGTGCTTTTTTTTTTTTTTTTTTTTCAACATAGTCAAGCAATTTTATTGAAAACTTAAAAAATGGCCAATGCATAATATAAAACAAACTTGTTATATATATATCTGGGTTGGGATAAAGGAATCCGTTCACTTCATGGTTGGGCTGAAGTGTTTTTAAACCTAATTTCACTTTTCTTAAAATTTAATTTCGAATAATCAAATATTTATTCTATTTTTTTATGTACCGGGTATTAATCGACAGGACATCCTTGTAAAATAGATTAATAATAGTCTCAATGGATTTATTTTCTGGACGAATAAAGGATACTGTCCCTTTAATTTAACCAGGAAGTGTTCTTAAAATATGATTGGTCAGAGCTGTTTGACCACAACCAATGGAATTGGCGGATCTTCTCCTGTGTTTTTTTTTTTTTTTTTTTAACAGAACTCTCATAGAAATGTACGGTATAGCTCAGCGGAAGGATATCTTCAACACCAACAAAAAGCCTCGTTGCATCGCCCATGTTATAATTGTAAGTATGCTCTTTATATGAAGCTGAAGCTTAACATGTAAGGACTGCGTCAGCACAACAAATGTCCCGTAACTAAATTAGCCTTGCGTTGATTGTTTGACTGTCGCTTAGCTAAGATGCTAACGATTCATTGCTAACAAACAAATCGGAGTAGCGTATCGTAACGCTTGTTTATGACCTCACAATGTGTTTTGTGCCCTGTTTGTTCATTTGGTTCGCAGCACGCTTAAAAGACGAAATCTTGATGGTGATTAAATGAAAATGAAGTCAGCTGAGAAGAAAGAAACGCGAGGAGAGGAAGATCACGATACAACCGCAGTCAAAACTGAATGCCAATTAGAGCAGGAGACTGCTGAAGATGATGAAGGCTCTTCTGATGAAGAATACACCATCAATGGAGATGATCTTAATATTTTGATAAAGGAAGAGCCGGAGTCATGGGAGATCGATGAGGATAACTGTGTGAAAATTACGCTTGATGCCGACACTGTCTCTCAGGATCCGCAGGGACTCATAAAAGACGAGCTTAGCTGTAGCTATGATGATCTGCTGGAATATGAATCCAGTGAAGCTGCTGTCAAGGAGGAGACAGAGTCATTCATTAAAGAGGAGTCACCGAGTGAAGAGGAGGCTGAGGAAGAGGATGCAGATGACATCGACGAAGATTTTGAGGACGACGACGAGGTTATCCCCACAGGTGAAAAACATACCTGCTCACAAAATAATAACATTTTTCTTTCTTCTTTTTTTTTTTCAATCTTAATGCACTTTTCTATGATATCCACATAAGCACGTACAGAAGACAGAACTGCAAAAGCCATATGTTGCGACTTTGGTTGAGTTTAGGAGGGAAAAAAAAGAATGCATATTAATTTTTCATTGTATATCCTATAGAGAGCTAGCAATTAAAAAAAAGAAATCAAGTAGTTAATTATTATTCTAGCCACCCTCCCTCCTCAAAAAAAAAACTAAGAAATATTTGCATTTTTCTCAGCCAAAATTTTAAACAACTTGAAGAAAACAGAACTGTAAAAAGGCATTACTCAAACTGTAAGTTTATTTATTTACCATACCATTTTATTTATAGAGCACTTAAAACGGTGACAAGGCCAACCAAAGTGCTGTACAGACAGAACAACAGGTAACACACAAGGCAACATACAAAATGAAGTAAATCAGATTATAGACATAAAAATGATGCAGATAATAAATATGACGACTAACCTGTGTGAAGAAAACAGATTCAAAACACAGATCATCTGGTGTTGAAAACCACTGAATAGTAGCCGGTTTTTAAACGGGATTTGAAAACCGATAGGGAGGGGGCCTGTCTGACAAGCAGAGGGAACTCGTTCCAAAGTCTTGGTCCTGCTACAGAGAAGGCCCTGTCACCTCTGTGTTTAAGACGAGTTCCTGGATCTGTGAGGAGCAACTGGTCCGCTGACGTCAGGGAACATGGTGGGACATACGGTTGTAGCAGATTAGAGAGATGGGGGGAAACTGTTCAGCGATTTATAGACATACAGTAGTATTTTGAACTGGATTCGAAGGTGAACCGGCAACCAGTGCAGTGAGTCCAAAACTGGTGTAATGTGCTCTCTTTTGCCTGTACTGGTTAAAAATCAGGCTGCTGCATTCTGGACCAGTTGTAGTCGTGCAATGGAGTTCTGACTGATACCAAACAGGAGCGAATTGCAGTAATCAAGCCTAGATGTAATGAATGCATGTATTACTGTCTCCAGGTTATTTTTGGACAATATGGGCTTCAGTTTAGACAGCCGCCTCAGCTGGAAGAAACATGATTTAACAATCATGTTTACGTGACTGTTAAGTTTCAGGGAAGGGTCCATTATCACTCCCAGCTTAGTGACTCTTTATTTTTCTGATAGGGCTAGAGTGGAAAGGTCGATGCAGTGGTTTGTGATAGTGTCGTTGGGAGGGAACAACATGACTTCAGACTTCTTTTCATTGAAACTTAAGAAATTTAAAGCCATCCGGTCCCTGATGTCAGCCAGGCAGTCGAGCAGAGGTTGAATAGAGCATGTGCCATTGTGTCTTAGGGGGAAGTAAATTTGACAGTCATCGGCATAGAAGTGGAATGTTGTGTTTCCGGAAAATAGCACCAAGTGGCAGCAGGTATAAAGAGAATAGGAGGGGACCCAGGATGGACCCCTGCGGAACCCCCCATTTAAGCTCTGCCGCTGCAGAACTAAAATCCTTGATGGAGACACAAAAGGATCTGTCAGCGAGGTAGGATCTGAATCAATTGAGGGCTGACCCTGTGATGCCCACCCACTGCTCCAACCTAGCAATTAGGATCTCATGGTCGATGATGTCAAAGGCGGCTGTGAGGTCCAATAGGACAAGCAGCACAGAATAACCGGTTTTTATGGATCTGAAGATGTCATTACAAACCTTCAGTAGGGCAGTTTCAGTGCTATGGAGAGGTTTAAAGCCAGATTGGAATAGCTCTAAGATGGCTTGATCCTCCGGGAAGCACTTCAATTGGCACTCAACTATTTTCAACTCAACTATTTAGACTGGTAATCTCATTGAGAAAGGCAGTCACATTTACAAGATAGATCTTTAACACAGACACATACTGTCAGTTACATGAAATAATACAACAACAATCATAAAACATTATTTCGAGAACAGGTCTGAAATTATGATTTCTCCATAAACATAGTTTTAAAATGTCCCACAGGAATAAAACTGGATAGTTTCAGATCTTGTTACAGTGTATTCCAGGAGGATGGAGCAGATCAGGAGGCCATTTTTTCCGAGTTATGTACAAACTGAGGGGACACTGAAAGAAATCCTGAGAACATAGGTTGTGATTGAACGGTCTTTGTGACATCAGAATATACCAGTAGGTAAGGACTAAAGACGCAACAGGCTGAAAATGGATTTGTACATGAAAGTGTAGCAGTGTCTGCAGATAGATAATGATGTCCCATTTACCATTGCATATAGGGTACAGTGGTGTGTGAGAGGTTTACATTTTGTTATGAATCACAAAGCTCCATGACAAATAATATCCAGCTTGTGCAGGGAGGTACTTGTAGTGTTCAGATAAATAATATCCCTATAGTCCAGCAGTGGAAGGAAGGTTGCAGACACAAGATATTTACAGGCCATAAAGGATTAAATATTTCTAAGAAAATATCCTAATTTTATTTTTAATTTTATTAAAATGTGGTCGGTATGATATTGAAGGAAAGCTCTTTATCACTGACAATGCTGGGGTATTTATACGTTTGTACAAACTGTTGCTATGCCATTTAAAAGGCAGTATAGTTTGTGTGTTTTGTTTGTTTTTTTGTCTGCAAACCGCATGTATTTCTTTTGTCAACATTAACGAGTTTGAGTTGAAGGGGATCTAATTGAACTGAATCAAATGTAGACTGCAGGCACTCAAGAACAAATGATGCATACATAGCATGACAATAGTCAACAGTGTCATCAGCAAATTAATACATACTGATACCAGTATTCAACCTATTCAACCTCTGCTCGACTGCCTGGCTGACATCAGTGACTGGATGGCTTTAAATTTCTTAAGTTTCAATGAAAAGAAGTCTGAAGTCATGTTGTTCCCTCCCAACGACACAATCACAAACCACTGTATCGACCTCTCCGCTCTAACCCTGTCAGAAAAACAAAGAGTCACTAATCTGGGAGTGATAATGGACCCTTCCCTGAAACTTAACAGTCACGTAAACATGATTGCTAAATCATGTTTCTTCCAACTGAAGCAGCTGTCTAAACTGAAGCCCATATTGTCCAAAAATAACCTGGAGACAGTAATACATGCATTCATTACATCTAGGCTTAATTACTGAAATTCACTCCTGTTTGGTATCAGTCAGACCTCCATTGCATGACTACAACTTGTCCAGAATGTAGCAGCCCAATTTTTAACCAGTACATGCAAAAGAGAGCACATTACACCAGTTTTGGCCTCACTGCACTGGTTGCCGGTTCACTTTCGAATCCAGTTCAAAATACTCATGTATGTCTACAAATCACTGAACAGTTTCGTCCCCCCCCCCTCCCCCCCAATCTCTCTAATCTGCTACAACCGTATGTCCCACCACGTTCCCTGACGTCAGCGGACCAGTTGCTCCTCACAGTTCCAGGAACTCGTCTTAAGCGCAGAGGTGACAGGGCCTTCTCTGTAGCAGGACCAAGACTTTGGAACGAGTTACCTCTGCTTGTCAGACAGGCCCCCTCCCTCTCAGTTTTCAAGTCCCGTTAAAAACCCACTACTATTCAGTAGCATTCAACACCAGAGGATCTGTGTTTTGAACCTGTATGCTCCACACAGGTTAGTCGTCATATTTATTATCTGCATCATTTTTATGTCTATATTTCTGATTTACTTCATTTTGTATTTTGCTTTGTTTGTTACCTGTTGTTCTGTCTGTACAGCATTTTGGTTGGCCTTGTTGCTGTTTTAAGTGCTCTATAAATAAAATGGTATAGTATGGTATCAAAAACCTTTTAGTTTAGATTGAAAACATTATAGGACCCAGAATCGTGCCTTGTGGGACACCTTTCATGATTTGCAAATAATCTGATGACAGACCATTGTGTTATACATATTGTTGATGAACAGACAGTTTGTAAAACATCTGACTGTTTGCTCTGAACGACCAATCTCTAAACGTTTCTGACAGAGGATGGAATGATCTACAGTTAAAAGCTGTAGACAAGTCAATGAAGAGCACAGCACTGTGATCTTTGTCGTCCAGGGCTTCTACACTATCATTTAGCACTTTGGTGAAGGCTGTTACAATGCTGTGTTGTTTTCTAAAACCAGACTGCAGACTAGATAAAATGTTTGATAAAACCAGGTATGGTAATCTTTTATTTTATTTTTAAAGGTATGTCATTAACTACTCTTTCCAGGATTTTAGCTAAAATGTAAAGTTTAGAAATTAGCCAGTAATTATTTAGAACAGTTTAATCACCACCTTTTAGAAGTTGAAGAACAAAAGCTGTTTTCCACACTCCTGGAATTACATTGAAAATATTCCAAATTGCAACTTATACCAACGCTATGAATCCGCTACATAAAAATTGCTTAGACCTAAAATACATGCGCTATAAACTAAATAAATGCGTGTCTTATCACAGTAAAAAGAAATAAATACATACAGCATAGTAACTATCGATATGATAATTGCACGTTATATAGTCAGAAAATGCCACTAAAGCCTGATGTAAAAGGAATAAATCAGTAATATTTTCAAAACATGACTGTGTTAAGAATGGGATAAAGACTTTCAGAAATGGTAGATTTCTATAAATTTAGTGTTGATGACGAGATGATTTTATTTAGATTTTTTTCCTTGCACATAAATCCTTCCCCCTCTGCTCTGTTAGTTGTTTCCTTATCACTGATGAGTCCCACCACTGTTGTCAACAGCATCCTCAGCAAATCTAATGAGCTGATTTGTGCTGAATTTGGCAGAAAAGTTGTGTGTCAGCCAAATAAAGGACACAGGACTGAGCACGCATCCCTGAGGGGCCTCTGTACTCAGTTTGATGGTGCGTGATGTCTTACTGTTGACATTTACTGTCTGTTGGTTTTATGTTGGGCAGTTCATAACACAGTCAGCCTCAGAGAGAGATGGGTTTTCAGTTTGAACAGAAAGTGCTTTACTGTAAGTGGCTGCGGAATGATTTTGTTGAAGAAAAGTCGGTTAACTCAATACTGACATATTTCTTCTTTTCTTAATGCAATATAAGATGATATGTAATGATTGGATCATTTTGTGGACCAGCTGACACAATAAGCAAACAGTAGGGGGTTTCAGAAAAGGTGGGAGGCAGGCTTTAATTCATCTCATAACTAGGCTTTAAAAACATACTATTATGGCAGAGGTCAGCAACAAAAGCGTTACAGACCACTGGAGAGACAAAGAGGTTTGTAAAATTTGCTAATTCAATAGCAGCGTTTCAATACATGACCAAGAGTATTACAGCTTTGTGTTTATTTTCACTTCTATATAGTGATAGCAGTTAGATGCCCTCAGAAATAACTTGCATAATGTTCTTAAATGTTCAGCATAAATAGTGAAGCAATGTAGTGTTATACTTCTGCCGTGTTTTTACACCAAATTAACAAACAAACCTTTTTGATTTGGACTCTAACTGTGAAAGTACTGCACTGTAGTCATAAAATCACAAATTAAGGATAGTTTACTATGTTTTGTGCGGACTGAAAGCTCTTGATTGTGTCCTGTTTAATAATGCATTATTATTAACATCTGAATCAAGCTGCAGAATTAAAATTGGTGAATTTCCACTTCTTCACTGCATACATTTGTAATTATTTAATATTTATACTAGTGTTGATTTTGTCTTCTGAACCGTATAAAAACTGAGAATAATACAGATATTTCATTAGCGTTATTGTTCCCGTATTCACTATAAATATATATTTTTCTACATGTATTTATAAATCTGTATTTCTTTATTTATAGGCTTGTTTTTACAAGATTGTTACAAAAACAAGGTTCTATATTAAATATCCAACTATTTTGGTACATAGAACTTCCATCCAACGGCTAATTTATAGGGCAGCACGGTGGCGCAACTGGTAGAGCTGCTGCCTCTCAGCGAGCAGGTCCCAGGTTCAAATCCCGGTCCAGGGGCCTCTCTGGGTGGAGTTTGCATGTTCTCTTAGTGCTTGCGTGGATTTTCTTCGGGTACTCCGGTTTCCGCCCACAGACCAAAAACATGCATGTTAGTCTGATTGGTAACTCTAAATTGTCCCTAGGTATGAGTGAGAGAGTGAATGGTTGTTTGTCTCTCTGTGGCCCTGTGATGGACTTGCGACCCGTCCAGGGTGTACCCCGCCCATCTCACAGTGATTGCTGGACATGGGCACCGGCAACCCCCGTGACCCAAAATGGAAGAAGTGGGTAAAAGATAATGGATGGATGGTTAATTTATAAATCTTTGATGAAATTTTCAAGAAAGCTAAAATGGTTGTAAAAATATCAGGTTTTTAAAACTTGTTATATTGGAGAGAAAAGTATAGAAACATTTTGTTTGTGCATTTTCTCTTTTTTTGTCTCCTATGTAGAGTCATCATCTGAGTTCTTCCCATGTCCTCACTGCACTATCTCCTTCACTAACATGGATTACTTGGAGAAACACGTGAAGTGGGTTCATCAGAAAGAGTACCTTGATAATCTCAAAAAGAGCCTCCCAAACCACACACTAAACTTCAACCACAAACACACCTGCTTAATCTGCAGCAGCACCTTCAAATGCAAAGCTCACCTCGGCATCCATATGCATGAAGTCCACCCGTCTGCCCCTCCCCGCAGGCTTCACCCTTGTCCAACTTGTGCACGTAGCTTCCAATACCTCAAGAATCTGAAGAATCACTGTCAGCGCTGGCACAACATGTCTGTGATCACTAGAGGAGGTCATCTCAGTTGTGCTGACTGTGGGAAGAGTTTTCAAGCCACCTGGGGTCAGGGACGACATCTGTGTCATGATCCAGATGGAGCTGAATCTGAGGACAGGCCAATCTGTTTGGATACTAGTTTACAGTGTTCAAAGTGTGGCAAAAAGTTACGAACGCCTCAAAGTCTGGAGGATCACATGCGCACCCACACGGGGGACCGGCCGTTTATCTGCAAAGACTGCGGCAGGCGGTTTGGGGAGCGCAGCAGTTGGCGGCAGCACCTGAAAATCCACCTTGGTGAAAAGCCATTTAAATGTGAGGTGTGCGGCAAGGCCTTTATAAGGTCACACCACCTCAAGTCGCACTTAACCACACACTCTGGCAAGAAGGAATACTCTTGTCCTGAATGTGGGAAGGAGTTTGGATTCAAGTCGAGCCTGGATCTTCATGTGAGGACGCATTCAAGTGAGAGACCTTTCAACTGCAACGTATGTGGGAAGAACTTCAACACTCGAAGAAACCTGAGGGTTCACACCAAACTTCACAACAATGAGAAAGCTCACAAGTGTGGGGAGTGTGGGCTGGAAATTAGAGATCTCGGTGCATTAAAGGTACACTTACGGTCCCACACCGGAGAAAGGCCTTACCACTGCACAGTGTGTGGTAACCGGTTCATTCGCCTGGCACACCTAAGAAATCACCAGCGGATCCACTCAGGTGAGAGACCGTATAAATGCGACGAGTGCGACAAGAGTTTCACTCAGTCTGGTGACTTGGTGAAGCATAAGAGGATACACTCCGGGGAAAAGCCTTATGAATGTCCAGAGTGCCACCGCTGCTACACTTCCTCTGGCGACCTGGGCAAGCATAGGAGGAGTCACACTAACCTGCGCCCTTACACATGCACGGAATGTGATAAAACCTTTCGTTTGTCAGGCCATTTGAAAACCCACATGATGACCCACACCGGAGAAAAGCCGTTTTCTTGCCCCATTTGCCTTCGTAGGTTTGCCCGCTCTCACCATCTTTCTGGACACGTTGCAAAATGTCGCTGAGCTTAGATACATAGCACTTAAAGTGGACATATTGACAGCTGTATACTGTATAACACAACATTTTTTTTTATTGTTTGAAAATATGAACTAACGTTTAATAACTATTTATAAACATTCTCTAAAACCGTTAAGAACTCAGTGTTTAAATTAAAAATAGATATCGATTAAGAATATTGCATGTTACTATTTACGCTACTGTTTGTGTACTTTATGCCTGGTGTCATTCTGAACTGTTTTCTAAAACACTGTCTTGATGAAGGCCTGAAGATAAAATATGAAGTAGTTTTGTTGGATGTCATGAATGATTGTTCTACACTAAGTTATCTGTAAAACTCAAATAAATAGTTTGATAAATCCACAAAGACCAGTTTTTACCAGCCACATAATATGCTTCTATTAAACTGCTTAATACAAGAGATTTATTACATAACTCAAGTTCAGAGAGTAGTTAAAAATGAACCAAATTTATTATTTTTTATTTATTTATTTATTGCTTGTTATGGGTGTGTTTGTGATACAAAGTGTGCCTGTCAGATGATTTACTCAAGTAGTGTTCAAGTCACACAAGTGTTAAAATATTTATTTTCCTTAGTTGTGTCAGACCTCACATTTAAAGTTTGACGCTGGCAGCCACACAGGGGACGGGTTATGTTATTCACCCTCTAACGTGAGGCTAAAGCTGTACAAGCACAAATCTAGAGCTATTGTAGTGTAGGTAATTGTTGAGGTTTTTAATCTTGTGAAAGGAAAGTGGTGTTAAATCCATTTATCTACAAAAAGAAAAAAATAATAGAGGCAACCTCAAGAGAAAGTAGTATATGGAAAAAAACTTGAAGCCAACAATCCCTAACCAAATCTGACATACAGTATAGGGACAAAAACATAAAGATAAAACTAAAATAGATAAAACTGGGGAAAACTAGCAAGAAAGCACAAGCTGTAGTAAGGTCGACAGATCGGCGGGTCTGCAGACTCAGACATCCTCCATTATAAATTTAACATAAAACAAGAATGTTTAGCTGTTTGATAAAGGAGTCAGTGGGTCCACTGCTTGTCATTACGCTGGTGCATGATCCAGCAGAACGTATTTAATAATTGGACGGAACTGGCTAATTGGATTGGAATCTGGATCTGGATTGGATTTAGGATTGGGACTTGTTTTTATTTTTTTGTACAGCAACCTAAAGGTGACCGTTGTTGGCACTACATAAATAAACTGAACTGAATCCAGTTCACCTGTGCATGCTTCTTACCTGTGCAGCTGGATCTTGAGGGTGACCACGTGGCAGACGTCCTACAGCATGCCGGCCACCGTGACGTCCGGTGCATCTGTGTCACATGAGCAGCGAGGAAGAAGATTCACTGACTTTCTTTAATAATTTAGAAAATAGTGTTATCTTGAAATCAAAAACAGTCCAAAGTGAGGATACCTTGCTGAAACTGAGCAGGTCATCCGGCGTGTGCTCTGTTATGTGAAAACTACCTGCTCTGTGGGCCAGTGGGTAACGATGCACTCAGTGAAGCAGCAACACAGGTAAGCCACATCTTCTTTTTTTTGTACTCTATTAATCCCCAATGAGGAAATTAATTATCTGCATATTTCCCGTTGCACATGTGAAGCAGAGGGTTGCCATTTAAGGTGCCCCAGGAGCAGCTGGGGGGTTAAGGGCCTTGCTCATGGGCCCAAAGTGGGGCAAATGAGGGTGGAGGCAGGTGAGGGTGTTTCACCTTTTCCACCCACATTTTGATGTCGGTCTGGGGAGTTGACGGGCGACCCTCTGATCACAGGCCCACCCTCTGTCACCACTCCCCCATATATAGTTTTTGCAACTATTTTAATTTTGTACAGCCGATTTTCAGAAATGCAATTTTGTTCTCGCAAATTCTATTAATTAAAAAGTTGCTTTTGTTTGCTTTTTTTTAAAAATTTTCCCCAGCTATTCCCTTTTCAGGGATCACCACAGAAAGTCATCCTCCTCCATTTCACTCTGTCCTCACTCCAACTACCTCCATGTCCTCTCTAACTGTATCCATATCTGTCTTTTTCCTGGCAGCTGCATTTCTAACCTCTTTCTACCACTGTCCCTCCTCTGGACATGTCCAAACCATTTCAGTCTGGCCTCTCTAACTTTATCTCCCAGTCCTTCAACCTCTGCTGTACCACTGATCATCTCATTCCTAATCTTATCCATTCTTGTCACTCCTAAGGAGAATCTCAACATCTTCATTTCTGCCACTTCCAGTTCTTTCTCTTGTAGAAAACAGACAGTGCATGTATCCCCAAAAAATTGTCCCAGATAACTCAAATGAGTCAAGACCCATTAAGTGTAGTTCCTTCTGCATTAGATTTGCTGCAGTGTCCCTAAAACCACATGCAATGACATAAAATATTTCTGGAATATTTAAATTTAATGATTAAAGCTCTCTTGTGCAAAATCTATTTTTAAGACATTTAATTTAGACAGGTGCTTAAATGCCCTAATAGACCAAAAAAAAAAAATGCTTACAGATTGGGAGGATTCATTCATCTCCTTCTGAGGACTTGCTGTCTGCTGACATTACATGTAGACTCGTATCTTCATGCAGGAGAAGTGAACTATAAAGACACTATAGGTGCAGAAGTCCCAAGCACAAAACTCAGTATAAACCTTTTTCCAAACAAGAAAGAGAGTAAGCAATGTGTGATTCCTTAAATGTGTTTGTAATCTTATTAGTCAAGTGTTGCTGACTGCATTAAAAAGAAAATACGTTTGTTTTTTTAATCTAACAAACAGTTTGATTTTTTTTTTTTTACGAGGACATTTCCATACAAGCGGAAGATTTAAATTCCTTTTTCGGTGATTATTTACACCAGATAAAGTTTTCAATCATACCAAAGCTTCTGTGGCTGCTGCAGATTTTATTTGGGATTTAATGAAACTTTAAATGTAACTTTTGAAACTAATAATGCTACAGATGAATAAAACAATCAAAAGTGTTTATATTTTCTTCATTGTACTGTAAAGCATAATAATAATAATATTCTGCATTAGTTTAGTTTTTTTCCCTTTTCATGTGATTAGGTATTAAATTCTGTTCAAAATTAAAACCTTATTTTGCTAGAATGCATCATCCAACAAAGAACTGTTGATCTACGTTTTTTGAAATATTGTGATTGGTTGCAAAAGTCTTTAATCTGATATCTAATATATATTTTATTCTGTAGATTGTTAATATAGTTTAAATTATACTTGGTACTTTGTTTACTTGTGTTAGCAAAAAAAAAAAAAAGACCTGGATTAGACATTTAAAGGCCAGTTTCTATTCACTTTTACAAACGGTAACATAAAATGTTTTCATAAACAACAGTAAACCTTGTTTTTCCATGTCAGACATCTAAATTAATTAAAAAAATGAAACACCTTTCTACTTTTGATTAAAATAAAACTGAATCTAAAAGCGATATGTACGAAACAAAGAGAATGGTTATTTTTATTGTCGCTTTGTTTTGTCCATTTTTTGCTCATTGTGTGTTTTGCGCTTCTTTTCCTCGTTGGATTGGAATATCTACCTTCCTTTAGTGGTCCAGTCATGTGAGGAAAATCCTGCTAACACTCATACACACCCAGGATATGCATCACTTAGACAAGGCCCACAACTAAACCTGTCTCTGTCAATTCAGTGGGAATTGGTCTATTATTTTTATGTCCGCAATTACAGAGACAGAGCCGTAACTACGACTCCAGCACAGATAACAAAGATATATTTAGGAGTAAATAATATTGACTGTACCTTTGTTTAAAGCGGGAATCAATACTTCTTAAAGTGTGTCCATTTTTCATTTAGCTGCGTCATGTCTGTGTGGAGGAGGGGCGGAGGGGAGATGAATGGGTGGATTCTCTAATTCCCCCTGTTGCAGTTATCATAATTGTTGAACAGCCACGGTTTTTAAAGATCCGGCTCGGGGAGAGGCAGGCCACACAAAGAAAGTTAATAGATTTGGAAAATTGAGATGGATTGCACAGGAGCCATTTTTGGAACGTTCCAGCGGCGTGGCAGGCAAATGGACAAATATGATGGAGGGATGAGGAGGTGGATGGGGAAAGCGCCGCTTGCTGCACACAAACAAACAGAGGCTGAGAATGGATCCTGACGAATAAAGGTGTTAGTCTTTACTTTTTCCCCATGCAGTCGTCACAGTCTGAGCTAGATACATTCGTGTCTCAGGCCTACATTAACCGGGGCCTGATTGAAACGGCAGTAGTTCCTCTTTTGAGGCACCAGGGGGAAATGAATAGCTGTGGAAAGGAGGCTTCAGGGAATAGTCAACCTCAGAAAATGTCACAAACCTAAAAGTTAGAGCCATAGAATGAGCCTTTGTTCAGCACTGCATGTAGAGAATATTATGTCCCAACATTATTACCTCCACCTTCATAAACAGTGCTGCTCCAGCTGATAGTGCATCCAGTGTGGGACCTCTGACCCTCTCATTTGTCAGCTTTTAGGCTCCGTAAAGGATGTTCTACAGCAGTTATTTATCCACAGGGGCCTACATTTGTTTCCATCCGTTTTGATATCGGTCATTGTTTTCACATTTGATGCATTCGGGCTTTCCTCTGCTCCTCAGAAATCTTCCCCATATCCAATTTTCACCTATCCTGTGTCCAATTTTCCCTAATAATCAGATGATTACAGTATGATGCTTTCCTTCCCTCTTTTCCACTGTCCTACACTTTCCCTCCCCTGCTCCTATTTTCCCTTGATTCCATTTCATTCCCCTTCCTGCAGCGTGACATACGTTACATGAATGTTTACTGAGGCGGTGCGTTTCGTCTGCAGATGTAGGTGCGCTACACTGGCTAAGATGTTTCTACAAATCAACAAATCAAAAGCCTTACATTTATTTACCCTCTCCTGTCCCAAAGCTGAATGAGAGATGCTTTTTTTCTTCTTCTTTCAATTTGTTTGCTTTGACAGACAGCTGATAGTGTTTTATGGTTGCAGTCTGAGAATTAAATTAC